AACTCTATTAGCCTTTGCCCTGCTTCATTTTGAACTCCAAGGCCAAACGTCCCTGTTCTTCCTTTTATCTCTTGACTCCCTACTTTAGCATTTCAGTCCCCTAGAATGAGAAGGACATCTTTCTTTGGTGTCAGTTCTAGAAGGTGTTGTAAGTCTTCATAGTATTTGTCAAGTTCAGCCTCTTCAGTATGTGCGGTTGGTGCATAAACTTGTATGACTGTGATGTTGCAAGATCTGCCTTGGATTCGTATTAAAATCATTCTATCATTTTTGAGATTGTATCCCATTACAGCTTTTCCCACCCTTTTGTTGACTACGATGGCTACTCCATTTCTTCTACAGGATTCTTGCCCACAATAGTAGATATGATAATCATCTGAATTGAATCCGCCCATTCCCGTCCATTTTAGTTCACTGACTCCCAGGATATCAATGTTTATTCTTGCCACCTCCTGTTTGACTACATCCAGCTTACCAAGGTTCATGGATCTTACATTCCAGGTTCCTATGCAGTATTTTTCTTTGCAGCATCAGACTTTCCTTTCACTTCCAGGCACGTCCACAGCTAAGCGTCCTTTCGGCTTTGGCCCAACCACTTCATTAGCTCGGGAGCTACATGTACTTGTCCTCCGCTCTTCCTCAGTAGCACGTTGGACACCTTCCGACCTGAGGGGCTCATCTTCCAGTGTCATATCTTTTAGCCTTTTGTTTCTGTCCATGGAATTTTCTTGGCAAAGATACTGGTGTGGCTTTCCCGTTCCTGCGCAGAGATACTGGAGTGGCTTGCCAGTTCCTGCTCTAGGTGGATCGCGTTTAGTCAGAACGCTCCACTATGACTTGTCTGTCTTGGGTATCCCTGCATGGCATAGCCCATACCTTCTCTGAATTACTCAAGCCCCTTTGCCATGACAAGGCAGCAATCCGTGAAGGGGAAGCCTGTGTAGATCTTGGCAATTACAGAAGGGAATTTTGCTTTGTATCTAGTAAACCGTGGAAAGGGTGACCACAAGTCAGCATCAACTTTACTACATGTTGTTATTGTTATTGTGCTTAGAACTGCACTACATAGATTTATTTAAATCTAGCAAAACCTATATATTCAGCAGTATTTGTTACAAATGTAACTAGTCCATCAAACTATTCCAGCAGGAATACAGATCTCTTCTACCTTTTTTCCTTTTCTTTAAAATGCTGCTTGAAATTGCCAGTTGAAGCCGCAACATGTACAAGGTCATTTCTTCATAACAGTCAGGAAATAAAAACATTTTACAAGTGGATGAATAATCCAATAGCACCATCTTTTGGAAAAGTATAAATATTTGAACCCTGAGTATTTCGTCAATGCATTAAACTTGAGTATTAAAACGAAGGTAAAATTTCCCTAAAGTTAAGAGATAAGTCTAAATGTTACATAAACAATTTTGTCAACTTTAGGAAACAGAATGGGATCTGAGTCAATAAAGAGTTCTATTAAACTAGAACATGCAGTAGTTCCTTACAGTTAGAAAACCAAAGTTAGGAAAGAATTGTTTATAATTCTTAAAGAGTATAAAAGTAGTTGAAATCAGTTTAAGGAGCTGATATGATGCTTAGCAAGCTTCATGTGGGGGGGGAATGTACTGGGAGGGTAAGATTTCTTTCTGTTGATGTGATTATACAACTTGCTTATGCTTTAAATTTATTTTTAATACATTTTGTTTTAAGATATTTCATAGACGTGACTTGATAGAGAATTTATAACTGATTAATTTTTCTAAGAAAGTGTTTTCACTTAGCGAATATTTTTGTTGTGTCAAAAGTGTCAAAGATACTTTGAACATTTTTGTAACATTGGTTATAGTCTTCCAAATATAATACTCAAGTTTGTTAGTTTATATGATTTATTCTTTATACCAGAACATCGATATATTCATATATTCACCTTAATTTTTGGTTCAGGTTTATCACATTAAGTATTCTAAGTTTTTTATTAGTTCTGAGTTTTCAAGCATTTACTCAGGCAGACATCCATATATTCTTTTCGAAATGCTTGCTTTGCTTACTCAATAAAATGAAGAAAAATTAAGAACTTATTGAATGTTCAATGGATTCTACTTGGGTCTGAGAAGTAAAGGAATTTCAGAAAGCAAAAAGACATTGTAAAGAAGAGTACATAACATCACTGAGTCACACTGGGATTACCTTTTAAATTCAGTGCCAACTGTGTAAGAATACAGGCTTCTGAGCTTCGCCCAAGTGGTCTATATATCTTTGTAACTCTTGGGAGAGTCGAGCAACCTATCTCAGTTCTGACAAGTGGAATTAAGTACTTAATTCTCACTGGCCTTATTAAAATATCAGTGTGATTATTAACCTCAAGTTTAATTAGTGATGCCCATGAGAGAAGAACATTGAGAGTCATGAGCGGCACATGAAGCCAACCTTGCTACAGAAACCTGTGTGTATCTATTCTCTGTTCCTTCAAGAACAGAATAGGTACTGCATGGTTCAGGATTAGTTAACACTTGAGTAAGAACCATCATTAGGCAAGTTCTTTGAGTGAGAAGGGATCCTTTCCATGATAACTGGATCCCTTCTCACTCAGAGAACTTGCCTAATGGTGGTTCTTACTCAAGACAATGATAAACTTAAGACAGCAGGTGCACACAGAGACTCAGTACACATAGAATGGTAAATAACTATTTCATTCTCATGTAATATTTTGTATAATCACTTGTAAACTGTATGCTGCTGTTTTAAATGAAAACTGGTATGTTGAAAACAATTTTACCTTTTGCCATATTAGAACAGTGCCTTTTCTATGTATCAAGGGTTCGTTGTTATAGTTAATGTTGAATTCCGAAAATAAGATCTCATTTTTGTCTCCTGCAAGCGTCCCCTGAGAATAAAGAGAAAAGGCATTTTTGTGTTAAAAATGGCAACAAATCCATGAAAACATTGTATCTCTTGATCACTTTGCATGCAATTTTATTTTATCTATTTAAAATATTTTACCCCACCTTTCTCCTTAAGGAGGACCCAAGGCAGCTTACATAATTGAAAGGCAATATTGAAAGCTAAAAACAGTAAGTATACTAACACTTAAAAAGAACTGACAAATGCCGCACAAAAATACAATAAACAAAAGCAATATCAAAAACGCATTCAAAGCAGTAAAGCACAACCATCTGTTAAAAAAGCTCAATCAGGCAGCCAGTCATTAAGGGAAATCTTGCTTGAAAAGGACGGGGTTTTCCCTGCTTGCAGTGACTGGTTTTTTTTCTCCAATGAGGATGTGAACATTGTGTTCGGGGATACGAAAGAATCTACAGCACCCTGTACATTTTCCATACCAGGGGTTAAATCTACCACTCTCTTTCTATGCTTGTGTTCAGAATACTGATTTTAGACATAGTTAAGTCACATTTGCTCCACCAAGTGTTGATGACTGATAGTTAATATGCTATACTGTTAATATGCTTGTTCTATTATTTGCTATTCTTTTCTTATTAATTTCCACTGTGATTTTTTTTCTTATTATTCATTTTTACATGGATTAACAATTTACTGGGAAGTAAATAACAATGTTTTCCTAGATGAACTTACTTTGGGTAAACATTTTTAGGACTAGGATGCCAAAGGCTATTTTTGCCCTTCCCTAATTACTCACTGGAATCATCTTAAACTCCACTTAGCACTGGCACTTCTAAAATCAAATAGTTTTTCCTCTGTTGTACCAAGCAAATTAAGGCACAGCACAATCTAGCCAAAAATCAGAAGACTGAAAGCACCCTGTGAGCACGTGAACTCCCTTCCTATCTTCCCCTGCCACAGGATCATAGACTACTTTCCAGCTTTCTCCCCTCTTACAAATTTTTCCTTCAATGCACAAGTTAATAAGAATTATTATTGGCACATATGTTGCTAATGATCGCACTTCATTTTTGTATTTAACTACAGTACTAGCTTGGTCACCAATGGCAACCAGGAATTCCATAGAAGTTGAGAGTACAGAATTCACTTAAGACAAGAAACGCATAGAGGCAAGTGTAAGCCTTCTCCAGGATGCTCAACATTTGCGGTGGGATCCTTTCCATGATAACTACAGCTCTTAAGACAATGATAAACTTAAGACAGCAGATGCACACAGATTTACCTGCATTCTACTCTTTAAAAAGGCTGCTCAGATTAATAAGAAATGTTCCATGCTAATTGCATTTGGGGGCTCACTAACAAAGCAGCCATACTTAGTTCAATGCAGAGGATGCAAACTGATCCATGGGTAGAAAAGGGAGATAAGCACACACAAAGGAGGATTTGTGCAGGTTAACTTTGTCTGGTATCAGACTATGACTTAAAAAACCCAATGCCTCTGTTCCCACATTCTAACAAGAAACATTATATTAAGATAAACATTTTCTACCAAGATACAAGAATGCAAGCTATTAGCACTACATATACAGTATGATACAGTACTGAGACGGGAGTTTCATACCTGCAGTCTCTTTTGTGCTTGTTCCGGTGTCAAACTGCTTCTCTGCACAAGAGTCCAAAACACTGTGTTATAGAGATTATTTATGTGACCTGCCAAATGAAATAATCACATTTGGACTGAATTAGAAATATATTAAGCCGTGCCTTCACAACAGTAGTTACAGTTATAAACTGTATGATGTTAACTTCAATATAAAAATTTATTGAGGCTAATATATTTAGCAGCATTTCATATATCATCAGCCTACTAGACATTCCTATAATGTATTTTTCAAGTAAGTAAACTTCCATGCTATGCAGCTTTGTTTCACAGTGGGATTTCCACAGGTAATGGGAAACTAATGCTATCCATTACAGGGGGAAATTACTTAATCCAATAAGCAGATTATTGCAAGAGAAGTCAGCCAAGCCAACTGCTGCATGTAATTGAGAAAAATGAAGGATAGCACTGCTGGTCTTGACTGACCAGCAACGTTACTGCTCTGAAAAATAGAAGATAGCAACACTTTTTCACATCTTACTGCAGAACTAAATATAATGCATTTTGCATTTCTCATACCACAGATCTGTAGCTCAGAGAGCCAATAAGAAAATGGGACTGTCTTCTGTAACTTGCAATATTTCTGGTGTGTTCAGAGTTATTTAGCCATCTCATAGACATAAGGGCTAAATACTTAAGAAAGAACTTGGAACATCTGGGATTGCATATGTTGATGTAGATGTAATTACAGGCTGTAGCTGAAAGCATCAACCAAGTCTTGGCTACCAAAACAAAGGAGAGGTGCTGTGGGAAGTTTTTGTGTATATAAGAGCAGCTTACAGTCAGCTTGCCGCCAGCTGAGATAGTCCTTTAGATTCTGATCACTTGGATACAACACAACACGTCCATCAAATCCTGGTGGATATAAGAGAGGCTGGTCCTGAAAGTAATCTTTCCAATAGAAAACATAGCTGGAGGCAAACTGGGAAACCACGTGAGTCATGAACTTGCTTATAAATAGAAAAGAGAAGAGGAAAAAAGTATAGGTTATTTATCATCACCACCACAATTGATTAGTTTATGTAAGTGGGCAAAATCCTGTTGCATAACTTCCCTCCCAGCACAACTCACATTGGGTGCAAGAAACATTTAATTTACTCTAATTAAAAACTTACTATCCCTATCCCACCCCCATTTTAGGTTCTTTGAAAATAAACACTTGCCATCCCAATCCTGGTGATTCAGTGGCGTTTTGTTTTTTTAACTTTTAGGGGCTTTGCTCCCCCATCCCAAAACTCCCAAAAGCTTTCCCTGGGCAAATGGGAGCCCAAGGGAACCTCAAAACCTAAAACGGTGAGGGTACAGAAAGCTTTTAATCAGCCTAAGGGTCTGTTTCCCCTGCTGGAATAAACCAGCAGAGGGATCTCTTTTTTTGGATTAAAGTCCCATGAACTTTAGCCAGAATCCAAAACTTTTGTGGCAGTGTATGCCTCTTCATCCTGCTGCCCCCATCCCTACTGCCTTGGGCTCCCCGCTACCTTGGGTTCCCCCCTGCTACTGCCACCACTACGATCTCCATTTCCTATCATGGGGGTTTGACATGGCATGGTGGGGAGAATGGAAAGGGATGTAGAAGAGGATGAGAGGGCAAGTACTGAGGGTGGGAGAGTGTGGGTTGAGGTGTCTGAAAGGTACATGGGTGAGTAATTAAGGGGTGGGAGGGTGAATGAATGAACAGAAAGGAATGAGAGAAGGCCGATAGGGAAACGGGCAAGGGATGAGGGCGGGAGGGCACAGGGACAGGTGCCTGAGGGGTGGGTGGTTGAGGGGACAAGAGATGCACAAGCAAGGGAATGTGACTGGGTGGTTTGCTGGCTTGCTCAGCAAGCCCAATACTTCTGTTTGTTTGTTTGTTTGTTTTGGCAAACCTGGTACTATCTAGTAGCATGATTTTTAAAAAAAAAAGCTGATAGGGCATCCACGTATGCAGAATCCATTACAAGAAATTGATTCCACATCCATCCCAACATAAATGGACCTCTGGCAGGGGAGCAGAAAAACCATTCCCCTGGCACAGTGCTCCACAAATGTATATACCTCGCATGTACACTAAAATTTAAATCTTTTTTGAAAAAGTAGAAGCCAGTATAACCGCTGATTTTTTGTTATTAATGGGATTCAGCCCAAAGTTCAATGTTTTCAAGGCCCAATCTGAGTTGTACTGGGAGCAAAGTTACACAAGACATTTTTACCTCGTACGTCGTCAGTTCAAAACAACGTTTGAATTGTTCTAGAGCTCTATGATTCACTCCCAAATTCTCTAAGGCCATGAAGCTCCAAAGCATATAATAATGGCAACAATAATGGATCAGTGAGATACAGTGTAATAATCCTAAACTAAGAATTAGTCTAATCAATTGAAATTAAGTTATTCATGACTAAATTAATTAATCCATATTGGTTTCAGTGGGTCTGCTCCAAGGGCAGACAATTTTCAAAGATCCAAGAGCATATACCCCATCTCTGTATGTTGGAAAGCCAAACCTGTTCTAGTGTCCTCATCATCCAAAATAATTTTCTTTTAATCTTTTTTTTAAAGAAAAAATAAATGGTCACCTCGTACCCTCTAGTGGCTACAGGGAGAAATTTTGCTGCTCCAGAGCTGTCCAGCATAAATTCTGACTTTGTAAAATAAAAGTTCCCCTAGCCTAAAACAGCTGGGGGAGGGGCTGCCCCACTGTCCAGCTACATTGTGTAACTTCTGAGAATTCTTTTTGCAAACTTGGGAAGTGTGGAATCTTAAGAAGAACAGAGATTGTACTATGTTCTCCCAAGTCTGTTCTGAAGTCTGGATCATATGTTGCAATAAGCTAGAGAGCAATAGCAACCTGTAATCATTCTTGCTTATACAAACAGCAATTAAACAAGCCACAGATCTTCTGCCCATACATGTTCACTGTAACCTGTTAGCCCTACTATCTCCCTGGTTTCTGAAAAATTTCCCTGGCTCATTAATGGGGAGACAACCTGGAGAGACACTTCCTAATGCAGGGGTCCCCAATCCCCAGTCCTCAGCCCAGTGCCAGTCCATGGGCTTCGCAGGACCAGGCTGCGGAGACAGATCTCCCACCCCCTCGCGCGCACGTATGGTATGCTCGCACGCAGTCAGCGGGTAAGTTTGCAGGTGGGTATGGCGCATGGTGTGGAATCCTCGTGCATATGCATGCATGCCCCACTTACTTATGACTGTACCACGCTCATCCACATATGCATGCATGCAAGCATGCCATGCCTACCCACAAGCACGCCCACTCACACATGGACCTCACCCCCCAACCGGTCTCTATGACCGTACCACGCCCATCTGCATATGCACGCAAGCGTGCCATGCCTACCCACAAGCACGCCCACCCACACATGGACCTCACCCCCCAACCGGTCTGTGGTTACGAAAAGGTCGGGAACCACTGTCCTAATGGATGTGATGTCATAAACCAGGGGTCTCCAAACTTTTGAGCATGAGGGCCACATCATATATTTTAAACATTTTAAAGGGCTGAAGGAATGTGTGCATTGGCACACATGCCCCCCTGCCCTTGTGCACAGACACCCATGTGCACACACACCCCGCACAGGCTGAAGGGAATGGATAAAACAGCAAGGCAGGCCGGATGTGGCCCACCGGCCGTAGTTTGGACACCCTTGTCATAAACAAACCACGGGCATAATTTATTTAGTGATTACCACTGCAAATGGGAATCTTCCCCCAGCAGATAGGCTAGCCTGGCTGTGACAAGCTAACATTCTCTCTTATTGTGATCTCCAAGGGCCCAGCACATTTCAGTCTTGATTCAACTCTATGAAAGTCACTATTTACATATTTTAAACATGGCAGGACAAACCAGAGAAAGGTATGGTCTGGCACACTCTAGTGGACACTAAAGTCCACCCATAATCAGTGGGCCGCATTAGACTGAACTATAATCCTATGTTGTTCAAATTCCTTATGTGACTAATGCAATGACTCTAACAACTCCACATCTTAGAGAAGCAACAATGTGTAACTAATGAACAGTTTCCTTGTGTGCTCCATCACCTCTTTTGGAAAGTTTCTTATCTACCTCTGGGTAGAGTGGGCGGCATATAAATTCAATAAATAAATAAATAAACAAATAAAATAATTCTCCAGTCAGGCTTCAACATACTGTTAATGCTTGATGGCCACCTGATTAGCAATGTGGACAAAATATAAGGATACTTATACACAACTCCCTCCTCGCCACCTACAAATTATATCTATGAACATTTCTTACTGATGACTCTGCTACTTTCTGAAATAAACTACCCCCTTTCTTCCCTCTGTTATATTTATATTCTTTATCATTATTCTAAAACTAAAACCAAACCGAAAACCAAAGAATGGTCATTCCAAAATCCATAAATTGTAAGTATCTGCATTCAGGTAACAAGGAATGTCTTTTACAGTATTCCAAAGCAAAATGAATTAAAAACAAATAGCCCTTGGGATTTTATTCAGTCTTGCCTTTAGTAGGTATATCTATGGTGTGGGAAGTCATAAAAGTAACTGCATAAAAGTGATGGTTGGATTGTCAGTATGGTAGTTGCAAAATCAAAGTGAAGATCTGGGGTCTAAGCAAATATAATACCTAATTAAGTATAAATCCACCATTTATGTAAACAAATATGTTAAACAAGCAAGTGTATAGGCAAAAGGGCTATATGTACAAGGCTGCAGAGAAACACATTTTAAAATTAGTTACCTTGTTCTTCTCTTAAACCAATTGCTTTTCTTTTTGAAAACAAAGCTGAATTCATCACTTTGTCCATATGCAATGACAATATCCTCCAGCTCTTCCATCACCGTTTGGGCACTCCTGTTCATCAACTGAAGAGCTCTGTCATCATTCGGCTTCTTAAAACCATGCTGTTCAGCAAAGCTTTGGAGAGAAAATATAGAAAGCACTGTAAGAGAGCTGGATTGTCAAAACTATTAAAAGTTATTCTCAACAAGTGCCTAACATACTGCAATTAGTTGGAATAACCATGGGACCAATGCTTTAATTTTCCATGTAGTAAAGTAATGCTTAAGATTTTGCAGCAAAAAGCACTTACCATACATGGAGCAAGAAATGCCAGATATCTATACTTGATGCAGAATAAGAAGTGGCAGTAGGGATGACATTGCAAATATGCACTGAATACCAGAACATACCAAAGAATTTCATGTAACATGAAAATCTGTGGATCATTCTAAAACAAATAATTGTGCCACAACATTTGACGGTTCTAATGCATAACAGAGACTCTGAATGAGAGACTACTGTTTAGACAGACCATGGAGAAACAAAGTTTACAATTGGCATAGGTAAGTGTCATGCTTAACTTCCCTAAGAGTTTATAACACATCACATAAAAACCTAGATAAGATTCAGGTGATAATTTAAGATATGCAGATGATATATTATTGAAAAAAATAATGACCAGAACCTTACTGCCAATTTATGCTTGTGTAAGGGAAATCACTGCTCATCAATTCAAATAACTGCTTATTAAAATGACATGCCTAGGAATGAAAACACTACCTTGTTAACGAGCAACAATTTGCCATCAAGGTATTTCGATTTGTCTATGGTAACAGAATAGCAGCAAAAATCATGCTTACAGAAGAATTAAATAATGTTAATGTTGGCAATGCAGAAATTGAAATAATTAAAAGTTTTTCTCTCTTTGATCCAATCATCACTCAAAATGGAGCCAAAACATCAGAAGACTGATACTTGGGAGAGAAACTACTGAAAAAAAATTGGAAAAATATTCTTAAGGTCCTTAAATGTAAGGATATGGCTCTGGAGACTATGGCAATCTACCCTTTGTTGCCCCTATTTAGTTGGACCTCACAAAGGTAAACACCCTTCAAGCTGCCACCAGGTATTCTCCTAATACCAATTTATGTCCCAGGTGCTGCCAACACAAAGGGTTATAGAACTTAGGAAGCAGAGTTTTAATTAAATATTCTTTTATTGGCAAACAAATCAAAAGGTAAATCACATATGAACTGTTTCAGGTGCGAATACGTATTGGATCATGTTTGCTGTCAATCAATATCTCTCTTGCTTTCAATCAATATTTCTCAATTCACTAACCCTCTCCTTTGTTCTCCTAAACCCTAACTCTCATTCCACATCTTCAACTGTCCCTAACTCTCTCTGTCTCCCCACTCCTGCTCTATCCTTTGCTCCTTCCCCTTGAGCTCCTGTGATGGACAGGCAGGAATGACGTCACCTTTTGGCCTTCCACTACAGAGAGGAAAGCCAAAATCATCCATACTATGGCTCTTCCCCTTGAGCTCCTGTGATGGACAGGAAGGAATGACATCACCTTTTGGCCTTCCACTACAGAGACGAAAGCCAAAATCATCCATACTATGGCTCTTAATATTACATATATTAATGTGAAAACTAGACAATGAAGAAAGCTGGCAGTGTGACGTGGAAGATTCATTGGAAATGTGGTGTTGGAGAAGTGTTATACTATGGACCCCCAACAAATACATGTGTTCAAAATCAAATAATTGCCTCAAGGAAGCCATGGCCTTTAGTTTGCAAAGCTTGAGTAGGGTTGTTAATGGTAATATATCTTGGTAATCACTATTTCATAGGGTTATCAGAGGAAACTTGATGGCACAATAGATCAGCATTAAAACTGTAATGTGCCTATGACCTGTACCCGCTGAACAACAAAACAACCTGTTGCTGCTAGGAAAAAATAAAGCCTTCAACAACCAAGGTGATATTAAGAATCCCAGCTACAACTTGTAAAGAGCCCAATGGCCTCTTCAGCAGATTGGAACTCCTTACGTTAGAACTTAAGGGAATTCTTTCTTTCCTTTAATATATGGAAACCTGGTTTTCAAATATTTATTATGTTTATTTCCAAACTGAACCAAATGTGGGTTTGTGGACATCATGTTCTGCCTGTCCTGGGTAACAACGCTGGCCTGATCAGACTACTAGGTGCAATCACAGAGGCCAAAACATCTTTCCACCATCATTCTAACAGTATATATATGAAAGGAGACACTCACCCCAAAAAGAAATCCTACAAAACAAATGAAAAAGCTGTCACACTTCAACAGCGTCAAAAAACCTAAAGTGCAGTCTGATTACAGTCCAGTGAGGTATAAGGACCTCACACACACTTTCACCTCTGAAAAATTACACCTGTCAATACCTAATTTTTCTTCTTTATTTATTATTTCCTTTATTCTCATATATGTCAGTCTGTTTGTAATATTATTATTATTTATTGTATATGTTCTTTTTATTGGAAGCCGCTCAGAGTGGTCTATTTGATCAGACAGATCATGTGGGAAAAGAAATACTCATGGTCCCAAATCAGCCTCTGGACTGACTCACTGCCACCCCCAGCTAGAGACCTCCTGATACAAAAGTTGCAAGGAGGACAAGCCGTGTTACTCTGCTGCAACAAACACAGTACAGTACGTTGCGTTTGGTATAAACTTTCTATGGACTATAGCCCCGTTCATCAAGAGCATCTAACTGGGGGTGGGGGTCAAAATATGCCAACTAAAATCTGATTATTGTTTCTGATACCACGGGCCAGGTATGCTGACAACCGATTAACAATAGTATCCTCGGACAGCGCTTGTGAATCCGACCTCCATGACAGCCCACGAAGATCTGAACAGGATTGGGCCGCCGCCCCCAAAACCCTGCCTTCCCCTCCCATTGGCTGGCCAGTCGCCCGTAGCAACCGCGCCCAGCCAGAGGCACTTCGCGTCGCCAATGAGGGAAGCTCCCGTTACCGGTGGAAACCGCGCCCGTCCAACCGGACGACGACCCAGCAGTTGGGCAAACACCGGTCGTCCGCTTCGAAGTCCCGCACATACTCGAACTTGCTCTTCGCCATGGCGGCGGAGGCCACAATTCAGGCCGGCGCGGAGGCGGTGGGCGCCCCAGCCGCGAACGCACGGCCAAGGGCGGAACCTCGGCCGCCAGCGGAAGTGCCCGCCACCGGAAAAGGAAGGTCCCCGCTCCGCTCTCTATGGTGCCGCAAGGGGGTTCGGGATTGCCTCGGGGAGGGGCTCCGTCTGTCTTCGGCCCCTTGTCCTGCCGCGCGCGGGGGACGAAGCCTTCCTGAAGGGAAACAGAGGCAGGGTAGGGGCAATAAATGCAGGAGGCACGGAAACTGAAAGTCGCAGCCTCTAATTTTTTTTTATTTTTTTAAAAAAACCCTCATGGTAGATGCTCGCGGGCTGCTGTTGGGGATTCGATGCGGAGACGTTCATGGTACTCCCCCTCCACACACACACACACACACCCTTTAGGTCCAATTCCTTCACACCAGGGATGGTGTTGCGTGGCCCCGGTAAACGAAGCGAGCGGCGCCTGGTCCGTTCCTTGCTGTTCCCGCGGTAACAGAGTAGGCAGTTGCCAAAGAATTCCCTCCGAAGGCGTTGGGGGAGAGCCTTTTCTGTCTCTTCCCTGCCTGTTTTGTTTTATCTCATTTCTCGTCCCGCCCTTGAGTAGAAGAGCAATCCCTGGCGATGGGTGCCAGAGCCGCGGCCTTTAGGTTACAGGACTCAGGCAGGGCTGTCAGGGATAGGACTTTAGGGAGCTCACGGGTACCTTCGGGCCGCCGTAAGCCGCAAACACCTGGATGGCTCGCAGCGAAGGAAGCGAGGAGTGGAGGTGGCCTTAACGTCCCTGCGCTCCTGCCAACGTCACCACAAGGGGAGTTAACAGGCCAACACGTTCCCCCCCCTTTTTTTTTGCATTTTAGGAGGGTGGGGCGCAGCACTGCAAACGAGCCCCGGTGTTCCCCATAGGGCACTGACTGCACTAAGAACGCAGAATTGGGGGGGGAGAGAGAGAATATACGGGCTGGGGTAAGGCTATTGCTTTCAGCAGTATGAAGACATTCAGGAGGATTACCTCGGCCTGCAACAAACGGGGGGTGGGTGGGTGCGAAGCCCTCGGTAAAAAGCGCTGCCCACACGGGTGCACGCGTTCCTTCCGTGTGTGTCTGTGTCTGTGTGTGTGTGTGTCCGTTGTGACGCGCTTTGCTCCCGCGGTCACCATGGCGACGCCTGGCAACAGGCCTCAGGGCAGGAAAAGCGGGAGGTACGTGGGAAGAGGCTGGCAATCGCCGCTTCTGGAGCCCGGGGGGTGGCGCGAGGCTGGCTGGAAGCGGGCGGGGTCCGACGCAAGCGCGTGCACCTTCGGGGGGGGGAGGGGGCGGGGGAAGGAGCAGAGAACGTTTGCAAACCGACGTTTGTAGGCAACAAACGGGCGGTCACAGAGGGAAGGCGGTGAGCTCACAATTCCCCACAACAATCCCACTCTTCGGGGCGGGCTGCAGCATGGAAAAGGGGGCGCAGGGGGAAACCCCCCGAGAGCAGCACCGCCTCCTGCAGCCCACGGCTTGGCCGCCCACCCCCCGCATGGACCACCTCCTCGTGCACCCTCTGCCGGACCAGGGAGCCAGGGACTCGCACCTTCTCTTTTTCCCCCCAAAACAAGGCCCGCAGCCTCCCCGCTTGCACCCCCTGCCCCCCAAACAGAATGCCCTGCGCAGGGAGCAGAAACTGCCGCCCCCGCCGGGTGAGGGAGCTGCTTGTAAAGTAGCCCAGCCGACCCCCTCGGAGGACCCAGTGGGCGCCCCCCAGCAGGGGCTCGGCTTGGAATCTGGGAGTTGTGGGAAGCCCGAAGAGCAGGAGGGGGAAAAAGTTCAGCCCCGGGGGTTGAAAGTGAAAGCCGAGGACCGGGAACAAGAGAGCCAGTTGGCCTTCTCCAGCAGTAGCAAAAAAAGGAGAGGCGAGCACAGAGCTGTGGCCAGTCGCCGAGCAGGGAAAGAGGAGTGCAGCAGCAGCAGCAATGCCAAGGAAGTGGGGGAGACCAAAGGGAGGAAAGCAGAAGAGCCGGAGGAGATCAAGAAAGAGGCACAACTGAATGGAAACAGTGATGCCAGAGACCTGGGGTCTGGAAAAGAGGGTGCCATCAAAACAGAACTGGTGGAATCTCTCCAAGAGGACTGCAAAGGGAAGGAGGAGGTGGGGTCCAAGTCTCACCCAGCATCCAGTAGCCCCGCTCATGTAAACAAAGATCCTAACTTGCCTCAGCTGCTTGGGACTCAGCATCCTCAAGAGCTGAAGATTCCTGTTACACTCCATCCTGTCCCTCCCGGGGCTAGGATCCAGTTTCAGGGACCATCTCCACCTGAGCTCATAAGAGTGACTAAAGTGCCAATGGGACAAGTACCCCTTAAAATGCAGTCCCTGCTGGAGCCGTCTGTGAAAATTGAAACTAAAGATGTGCCTCTCACAGTGCTACCCTCAGATGCAGGTATTAGATAGGAATAGAATCAGGTTTTACTGCGTTGGCCATTGGTTGTTATTGTATATATAAATATATGTGGGGGCAGAACTCTACATACACATTTAGCTATACATTTGCTGTATGTTCTTAAGCTTTGCTTAAGTGGAGAATATAGTCCACAATAGTTTATGCAGTTAACACTTGTAATAAAATCTGTCTGGCTGTTGCAGATCCAAGGCAAAGGTTACGAATGAAACAAAATCCCAATTTTAAAATGATTTTTGCTTGGGCCTCCTATTGTAGCTAGAAGTGCACCACTGTATTCTCTCTCTCTGGTTTGGATTGAGGTGTAAAAATTAATTGTTTCTCTCAAATGATATAGGACAGAAATGGCAAATAATGTTATGGCACTTTGTAACATACTGTAGCAGCATCTTTCAGGACCTAGAGCTTCCTTTGCTAGTCCATACATCCTCATTCATAAATCTTTGAGGGTTTAATACAGTATATTTATTGCACTTCTGTTTGCATGGTCTCCCAAGGAACTTGAGAAAATGCACAAGCATCTATCCCTTTCCACACAGTCTTGCCTTCCCTCAGCAAAAATGTGAGATAAATTAAAGGGAGTGATTAGACAAGATTCACCCAGTGAAATTTGCTGATGAGCATTGATTAAATCAGTGGTTCCCAACCTTGGGTCCCCAGATGTTCTTGAACTACAACTCCCAGAAATCCTGGCCAGCTGATGATGAAGCCTTCTGTATGTTCTTAGTTCAAGGACATCTGGGGATCCAAGGTTGGGAACCACTAGATTAAATTAATCATTAGAATCCCAGTCTTCCTTTCTGGAAATCCAGCATTCTAATTCTGGGATTGTCAGAACGCAGCCTTCTAGATGTTGGACTGCAACCCTCGGCAACCGTAGCCAGTGATAATGGTAGCTGGCATATGCAGTCCAGCAAGATCTTTGCTCAGCCATGTTTTCTAACTCAACACCACACTGCTCTAGAGTCTTTGTCTTTCATAATATCAGAATAGTGAAGTTGGAAGGGGCCTATAAGGACATCGAGTCCAACCCCCGCTTGATGCAGGAATACAAATCAAAAGATATCTGCCAGTTGGTTGTCTTAAGTTTCTCTTGAATGCCTCCAGTGTTGAAGCACTCATCACTTCTTGAGGTAATTGGTTCCACTGTCTCTAACGTCTCTAACAAAGTTTTTTTGTGATATTCATTAGAAGTCTGACTTCCTGTAACTTGAGCCCTTTGTTCCATGTACTGTACTCTGAGATGATCGAGAACAGATCTTGCCCCTCCTCTGTTTGACAGCCTTTCCAATTATTTGAAAAGTGATATATTACTCCTCTGTCTTCTTTTCTCAAGGCTAAACATGCCCAGTTCTTTCAGCATTTCTTCATAGGGCTTGGTTTCCAGCCCTAAGATCACCTTTGTTGCCCTTCTCTGAACTTGTTCCAATTTGTCAGCATCCTTTTTGAAGTGTGGTGTCCAGAATTGCACATAATACTCAAGGCCTAACCAGTACTGAATGGAGGGGAACTAGCACCTCACAGGATTTGAAAAACTATACTTCCATATGCCTAAAATAGCATATGCTTTTTTTTAAAGCCATGCCACACTGTTGGCTTATATTCAGCTTACAATCTACAACAATTCCAAGATCCTTCTCGCTTGTAGTTTTGCTGAGCCAGTTATACCCCATCTGGTAACTGCGTTGGGTTTACTTTTCTGAGGTGCAGTGCTTTGCACTTATCCCTGTTGAGTTTCATTCTATTGTTTTCAGCCCAGCACTCCAGCCTATCAAGATCATTTTGAATTTTGTTTCTGTCTTCACCCAATTTTGTGCCATCCAAAAATTTGTCAAGCGTTCCCTAGACTCCCGCATCCAAGTCATTAATATAAATGTTGAAGACCCCCCTAGGGACGTGGTGGCGCTGTGGGCTAAACCGCAGAAGCCTGTGCTGCAGGGTCAGAAGACCAGCAGTTGTAAGTTCGAATCCACGCAACGGAATGAGCACCCGTTGCCTGTCCCATCTCCCGCCAACCTAGCGGTTCGAAAGCATGCAAATGCGAGTTAGATAAATAGGGACCACCTCGGTGGGAAGGAAAACAGCGTTCCGTGTCTAAATCACACTGGCCATGTGACCATGGAAAGATTGTCTTCGGACAAACGCTGGCTCTATGGCTTGAAGAGCGGGATGAGCGCCGCCCCCTAGAGTCGGACACGACTGGACAAAAATTGTCAAGGGGAACCTTTACCTTTACCTGAAGAACACCAGACCCAGGACTGAGCCTTGGGGTACCCCACTTGTTACCTCCTCCCAGTTGGAGAAGGAGCCATTAATCATCACCCTTTGAGTACTATTCTCTAGCCAATTGTGTATCCACCTAACACTTGATCTATCCATCCCACACCTTGTTAGCTTGCTAATCAGGATATCATGTGGCATTTTGTCAAAAGCTTTGCTAAAATCAAGATACTGTATACTACATCTACAGCATTCCCTCTATCAAGGAGGTTACCCGATCAAAAAATGAGATCAGATTAGTCTGGCAGGATTTGTTCTTGACAAATCCATGTTGGCTTTTAATTATTACTGCATTGTTTTCTAGGTGCTTGCATAGTGACCGCTTTATAATTTGTTCTGGAGTTTTCCCTGGGATTGACCTCAGGCTGACTGGCCTATAGTTCCCAGATTCCTCTTTCTTCCCCTTTTTGAAGAAAGGGACAACATTAGCCATCCTCCAATCATCTAGCACCTGACCCATTTCCCATGATTTCAAGAAAATACACTAATGGACAGTGGTTCTGAGAGTTCTTTGGCCAGTTTCTTCAGTAGTCTTGGATGCAGTTCGTCTGGGCCTGGAGATTAGAATTCGTTCAAGCTGGTAAGGTATTCCTTGACTATTTGTGTATCAGTCTCCAGCTGCAAATCTGTCCCCTCCATCTGCACTTCACATTTATCTAGAGGTTCATAGTTTGTCCTATGGGAAAAGGCTGAGCTAAAATAGGGATTAGGCTCCTCTGCCGTTTCTTTGTCATCTGTTATCATTTTTCCATCTCCATTGAGTAGTTGTGCCACTGTTTCTTTTTTTTTTCCTTTTGGTCTTTGGCTTTGGACATACCTTAAGAATGTTTTTTTATTGCTTTTTGTGTGTCTATCTCGTCTCAACTCATTCTCAGCTTTTGCTCTTCTAATGCTGTCCCTGCATTTCCTTGCTACTTGTCTGTACTCTTCCTTGGTGACCTGGCCTTCTTACCACTTCCTATACATGTTTTGTTTTGTTTTCAGATCCTTCCTGAGCTTTTTGTGAAGCCACACTGGCCTTTTTTTTTTTTGCTACATCCCACCTTTTTTCCTTTTGTTATTGTTTGTAGTTGTGGTTTTAGAATTTCTTTTTTTATGAAACTCCCACCCTTCTTGGACTCTTTTTCTTGTTAGGATCTCCTGCCATGGAAATTTACTCATCCTTGTTTTGAGATTATTAAAATTGGCTTTTTAAAAATCTAGCATATGTATGTGGCTGCATTCTGCTTTGGTTTCCTTTGAAATCAAGAATTCTAGTAGAACATGGTCACTTTCACCCAGAGTTCCTCTTACTGCCACTTCCTCCACCAAGTTGTCTCTATTGATTAAAATCAAGTCAAGGATAGCTAGCTCTCTAGTTTCTTTATCCACTTTTTGTAGGAAAAAATTATCAGCCACACAAGCCAGGAATTTCTTGAAAGGACCATTTGCAGAATTTGCCTCCCAACAAATATCCGGATACAGTGATTGAAATCTCCCATCATTACTACATTGTGTTTCTTTGACATCCTTGCAATTTGTTTTTCAAAAGTTTCATCCTCTTCCTCTCCTTGATTGGGCGGCCGGTAGAACACTCCAACTACTATGTTCTTTTTTTGGGGGGGGTGGACGGAGCGACTGAACAACCCTCTGTTCAGCAGGGATTGAATCCCTGTTCAGCCATGGAAACTTGCTGGGGGAGTAGAACTGATAAAGCCACTCCTTGAATATCAAACTTACGTTGAAAGCCCTGTTAGGATCTCTACAAGTCAATTCCAACTTGACAACACATAACAACAACAAGATGCATTATACATAATCATTCTTTCTTTGTGGTTATTATGTAGTATATTTTACAGAGTAGTAGGAAATATTGGCACCGTGAATTGTTAAATTCTAATTCTGAATGCTTCAACTTAGGAAAAAGAAGCAAACTTGAAATCACATATGCCCTCTTAATTAATTTGTTTAATATTGTACTACAGTAATTTGTTTAATATTGTACTATTTCCAAAAATGAATGAAAGCTGGTTGATTTTATTAAGAGTAAAATAAACTTGATTAGGAAACAACTTTACTTAAAATCATTGCAATCTTAGTAAATATTTTAAATGCAAATCCATTCCTTTACATTCTTGTAAAAAAAACCAAAGTTATTCACAGAATTCCTACTGAAGTGTACTTCAGATCTGAGAAGTAATGAAGTACTAAGGATGCAGTACTGATCTCTGACCAGAACTGGGATAGTTATATTGAGGTGAAATAAGAAAAAAATAAATTGCAAAAGTAAATATTTAATAATGGGTGATTTTAACCACCCACAGATTGGATGGATAAGTGGAAATATACATTGAGGTCATGAAAGACACAATAGTATAGGGCGGGAGGAATCACATTTCCAGAGGGACCCTTATTAGTTGTAAGTGTTTAGCATATCCATGCCAGAATCAGCAGGGAGGGAAGACAGTATTTGAATTAATCCCAGACTGCTTGGAGATGTTATTGGCTGAAAGGCAGCTCAGTGAGAAATCATCAGTGTATAATAGCAGTGCTAAGAATCAATCCACTGAATTGGATCAGATCTGTCTTCTGTGTATATGGTGTTGGCTATTGTACTTAGCTATTATCTTTCAGTTACACAGAAAAATGAGGAGAAATCTATCCAGTCTCATCTCCTCCTCTGGAAAAGAAAAACATTCATTTTGGACACTTCGTGGTTAAAGGGAACAAACCTTTTACAGTGGACCCTCTACTTAAGGAATTAATCCGTATTGGAATGGTGGCTGCAAGTCGAAAAGTCTGTAGGTCGAATCTCCATTGACCTACAGTGCATTGAAAACCGATTAATCCCATAACCAGTGGTTTTTATTCTATTTTTGTACCATTTTGGTTTTTTTCTGGTCTGTAAGTCGATTCTCTGGCTGCAAGTCGAATCTAAATTTTGCAGCCAGAGAAGTCTGTAAGTCAAGCCGTCTGTAAGTCGAGCCGTCTGTAAGTCGAGGGTCCACTGTACAAGTACACAATGTGCTTCTGTCCTTTCTTTTTGTATAGTGTGAGGCTGCCTTTTCACATGGTGGTCTGTGGGGAGCAGAGGATGGAGGAGACAGGAAAGGTGTCTCCTGGGATAGGAGCAACAGGAGGGAAGGGGAGGTTTCAAGTACTGTGAGGCGTCCTTATACTTAGGTTAGTAGTAGGTGCAGTGCATACTCCCCACAGATAACCAGTTTTAAAGGAGAAGCATGCAAGGTTGCATTTTTCTTGTGTGCAGAAAGGTTATAATCCAACGAAGAAATCCTAATAGGAGAGGTGGTGATTTTCCCGTCCCTGAAACTCCCAATACTCCCCTAAAATTCTGCTCTCCAGTAGCTGGATTTTCTGGAGCAAGGTGAGTACAGTGCTGGTTATTGCGGGAGAAGGGGGAAATTGGCAAAAATAGCTCTCCCTTTCCTCTTCATCAGCAGAAATGTTGTGAGCAGAATTCCATTCTGTGAATCCTGCCTCTGGGGAAAGCAAACCCTGCATCCATTGTAATGCATTGTCAAGGGACTTAAAGTGGCAAGAATTAGTGTGGGGTCATAAGTAAAATAGTTGTACAGTATATTCTTAGGTTGCAATCCAGCATACTCTGGGAATTAAGCCTAATGGAACTCTGTTAGTTGCCTATCAAAATTTTAGAATTTGAAGGTGCACAATAGAACAGACACAATGTTCTTAGAGATGGGACATAAAAAACTGTGCACTTTAATGTAGAAAAAAGATGACAGTTTATGGTCATCTGCATCTAGTAAGAGAAGAAATAAGAAATAATATAAAAATGCAGGAAGGTTACTAAAAATGGAAGGTAGGTGTCAGCTGAACGAGCCTCCCTTAAAAATCCACATACAGTCATGGCCAAAAATATTGGCACCCTTACAATTCTGTCAGAAAATGCAACCCTTCTCTCAGAAGATTGTTGCAGTTGCAAATGTTTTGGTACTCACATGTTCATTTCTTTGATTTCCGTTGGAACAACATGAAAAACACAAGAAAAGTCAAATCCAATACAATCCCACACAAAAACCCAAAAATGTGCTGGCCAAAAATATTGGCACCCTTAACTTAATATTTGGTAGCACCCCGTTTGGAAAAAATAACTGAAGTCAATCGCTTTGTGTAACCATGAATGAGTTTCTTACACCTCTCTACTGGAATTTTGGGCCACTCTTCTGTTGCGAACTGTTCCAGGGCCTTCAGATTTGAAGGATGCCTTCTTCCATCTGCTGTTTGGAGAGCTCTCCACAGGTGTTCTATGGGATTCAGACCTGGTCTCATTGCTGGCCATGTCAGAACTCTCCAGCACTTTGTTTGTAACCATTTCTGAGTGCTTTTTGAAGTGTGTTTCAGG